GGCCTAAGCAGACTGACAGAAGCGAAGCAACTAATCTGTGCCATCCTCCGACCACACACACAATCATACATTCATTCACTCATACTAGGGCTGAGTGGGCTAAGTGTCTTGCCTTGTATGACTCCGGACTTATTAGGCAAGGACACAACAACTGTTTGGCATTTTACAGATGCTGCTGTCACCCTAGTGTGTGTTTCCAGAGGTCCCCCATCACAGTACTAACCAGAGCCTGCCAAGCTTAGTTTCTGATGGATCTGACAGAATCAGGCTTTTACATGTAGGTGGCGCCGCAAATAAATAACCTTATAAATATATAAGGTTGGACTGCAGAGAAATTTGATGTCAAGAAAATAAGAATTCCTTAGCATTGTGTTTTAAATGAGTCTTTGAACATCTTTCAACTTTGAAGATTTGATTTTCAAAAGCCTGGAGGTTGTGGGTTCGAGCCCACCATAAGACCTACTTCACAACTCCCACTGATGACTGCTGTCGTTGTGTCCTTGGGCAAGACACTTAACCCCACTTTGCCTGAGGCCCCCGCTGAAAGATCAAGGCTCCTGTGGACTCACCACCTGCAGGAGGTGAGTGAGGGGCTGGTGCTCTGTGTACTGGGTGCAGCTCTGACTGACACCCCCCCGACCCAGAAATGGATTAAGGGGAAGAAAATGGATGGATCTATTTTTCAGTCAACTCATAGCATTTTGTGTTTCTAATACACATGCAAAAGATGATGCATTCATCGTTTTCATGTCCATGGAGATTTTTATTAATTTCGCATTGCTGAACATTGGATGAGTGCCCCTTCATTCCATTTACTTCACTTTTAACGGCAGAAAGTAGAAAATGAATGTGTTATGATGAGATTATATGATGTGTATCTGTGTTTGATTCTTATGTAATAGTTTATTTTATTGTCTTCATAGGTGGTGTCAAACATTGCCTCTAAAACTATACATAACTATATACTACAAGATTACTAAAGGTGACCCTGAAACCAAAACAGCCGCAGGGAAAACAAATTTTAAATTCCTAGATCCAATTCTTCCAACACCAAACCGCGCATTCGCTCTCAACCTCAAATCCCTTCTTCGCATTAAAAAGTTGCGTCGTGCAAATAAACTAACAGCTTTTCCAAACAAAGCCCATTAGCCGTAATGACTTCCTATTAAGAGAAGAGTAGCGCAAAAATAACACTGCTTTTAGTAAAGAACATTTGCACTGATTGGACATAATTGAAAACACCTCACCTCATTTAGCGCAGGTTGAAGCAGATGAAACGCGAGATAGACTTGCTGAGAGAGATGCCCACACGCCATTATGCGCCGCGTTGTTTGTTACTATTGAATATACATAGCTTCTGACCCTTCAACCGCTTCCCACGCGCCTCCCACGCACACACGCGCTTGCCCACAGTGACGTTTGGCCTTTGGCAAAACTCCCGACGAGTCGATGTTCCGGGATGCAGCTTGAGCACTGAGTGTGCTGGATATTAGTTCAAATACAGTGTTTTGTGGTAAAGTGGAAAAAAAGCGTTAAGGTTAGAAAAGATGAATGCAAGTCTGTAGTAAAGGCTTTAGTCAAGTAGTGTCACGGTCAGTCTGTCTGTCTGTCTGGTCAGATTGTTATCAGTGCCATATTTGTGGTACTTTGAATGGACTAAAGAAGGCTGCATATCTTCCCATTATTGATTAAAAACATTGCACTTTATTACACTGAACAAAAAGATAAACGCTGTACTTTTGTTTTTGCCCGTTTTTCTCATGGGTTACATGGGCTTTACGAACATAATACACAAAGAGCTTCTTCTATCAGGTATATTACCAAAAGTGTTTAAACGAAAAGAAGTGGACCTAATATCGAATCCTGTGGTACCCCACATTTGTTTTGAGATTTCTTGCTGTTAATTTGCACAAATTGCCCTCTTTCAGATACAGGCGATAGCCTTTGAACAAACCAAGCGCATCACTCCTGACACCATAACGTTGGTAACAAAAAAATCCAACATGAAACTAAGATTGTGGGTTTTTTGTTTTGTTTTTTCAGTGGGGAGAGAAAAGGGAAACCTAGTATCACATGTTTAAATGTATTTTTACACAATTTTCACACATTTCTGCTTTTCCATCTTGGGGTCAACTCTTTTTTTGGGGCTGGGTTAAAGCCCCTGTGTGTGTGGATCAGCCCACTTACATTGTTGTACTGTTGTCTATCTACAGTATAAATCCTTGATAAATTGCAGCAGGTGTGTGACTTCTTTGTAAATCTGATCCATGGTTAACCTGCTCGCTCACCCACTTGTCTCCTGCGCTCACCCCGCTCATCAGGGCCTGTGTTCGGGCAGCAGAGACACTATCCCACCCCATCTCCTCCTGCGCCTCCAGCCACAGCGGACCACTGACCCATAATAATGACTTTCAGAGCTCCACCTGAAACAGAACGCGCCTCTGAATCGCCTGGATCAGTTCTGAGATGTCATCGCTGTAATCCAATGCATGTGTAATGTGAGGAGATGGACCAGCTGAAATACAAGCCACAGAACAGATTCTGTTTGTACGAGTCAACTTTTGTAACGCACATTTTCAAAGCCGTTTCGGTGCTTGTGTAGCTGACTACACAAGCACCATACGAGTATCATCTTAGAGGATGTTGTGTAGGCCTACAAATGAAATGCTGAATCTTTAAAATGTGTTTTTTAACATCATGATACATAACTGAAGAGGGGGAGTTTTGTGCTCAGATGATCCAAGGATCTTTGTCGCTCGGGGTGAAGAACCTTCTTGTGGGTTCACCACCGTGGCAAAAAGGAGAATTATGAGGATATTTTGAAGCATGCTGGATCTCAAGACGTTGTCTAGGAAGTTGAGGCTTGGTAGCAGATGGGTGTTCCAAATAGAGAATGACCCAAAAACAGCCTCAAATGTGCACAAAAATGGCTTGAGGACAAAAAGTTGAAGGTGTAGAAGGTGCAGGAGTGGCCATCACAGCCCTAACTCAAAATGACAATTTTGGACAGGGCTGGAAAAGCTTCCACCCATTTATGCCAGGAGATTGTAAAAGGCTTACCCAAAACATCAAGTTAAACAGTTTAAAGGCAATTCTACCAAATATTAACCTTGTGTATATTAATCTTATTATTTTATGGATATCAGCTGTACATACATGATTGTGTCCTCCTAATACTTTGACATTCTACATCATTATCATAATGCACCTAAGCTAAAAAGATTTATTTGGATTAAATATCAGAACTACGTTATGGAATATCTTTGAGTATTTCTTAGAACCGTCTGACACAGGAATGCCAGCTGCTGTCTGACAAAAAGAGGATACTTTGAGGACATCGAACTGTCCACAAAGCAAAGCTGTGAAAAAGCAAAGCCATATCAAGGAAAGTTTTTTGCTCACGAATGACTGATACACACTGAATCCTGCTCTGCCACATCCAACGCATTGGTCATCTTTTTCCCTACTTTCTTCTCTTCTTTCACATTGGATGCACATTTTGGTTTGAATCACAAAACCAGCAGCGGTGACGGTGAATTCCAATCTTCCCGGTGGCAGAACCTTTCTCCCGATTGAAAGTGTAATGAATAAAAGATAATCAGCAGCCCTGCTCCTGTCAGCTTATTTTCAATTAGAGCTGCAGCCTCTTCTCCACCTCTGTCAACGCAAGACGCCGAAAATATTTCACTTTTTTCATTCAGCCGGTGTGCACTGTAAGAATAGAGAATAGTGTGGGTTAAATTAAATGTTATGAAGACATTGAGAATTCTCTAGTGAGATAAGTTCACTGCACAATCATATTTTCTACAATGTAATAATGTATAAATGTACATCCACTTCCAGTCTTTCCGAGGGGATATTGCATGTTCTCCCCATGTATGCATAGGTTTCCTCTAGGTGCTCCAGTTTCTCTTACCACTGACAACATTTACAATAGCTACCCTTTTAAAACTCTGCAGACTTTTATGAAAAAATGTTTTTTTATAGAGTGTGACCAAAACCAACCCAATGGCAGCTCCATGTGTCGGAGTACTTAATGGGGATAATAGGCCAACTGTCAATCAATATGCAGTCTATATGGCCCTGCTCCACCACAGATCAAGTTCAGACTTAAAGACCTCTTGGATCTTAAGCAGCAGAAACTTTCTAGACAAGAAATCTGGGCGGCTCCTGAGTCCAGCTTCTCTTTGTCTGAACAGTAGAGTGTGTTGTTTGCAGATGATTAGTGTGCTCCTGTGCTGCTAGTCCCTCTGTGAAGTCAGGAGACCAGAGGGAAGCCCCGAGCGCTTTTTAACAAGCCCAATATTCACTGTCGGAACGATTCTGTCACTTTAAACAGCCGATGTTCACTCTCTGTAACTGTTTTCTGAGTGTGGATGTCTACTGCAGAATTGATGTACATTGCAGACAAGAGTAACTTTATAGCTGTTCTCTGATGACACTTAAAATGAATAGTGGAATTGGACAAATGTGTATACTGATCGTACTGTAAGTGCCATAATAGAAAGAGCTACAAACCCTGTCTTATGACATATTGCAGAGTTAACAGCAGAGCTCAAGAGATCAGTCAACCTCGAGTTAGCGGAGGACATTAATATTGTAAGAAATGTCCGTCCATATGTACATAATGTCTGTCCATTATTTTTCTACTCTGCTTACTGAGCAAAAACCATGGACTATTACTGTGTTTAAGTGGACAAAAAGCTCAAACAAAGCAAATAGTGATATAATAGTGTATATAAGAAAGTTTGAGAAGCACATAGCCAGGGCCTAAGGCAGATGTCGAGATGTATTTTGCAGCATCTGGTCATAAATCCCAATCCAGTACCTGCCCCTGCCCTTTCCCCCGCTTTGAGAACCTTGCTCTTGCAGATTGCTTTTGGAATCACAGTTGTATTTCCCATTCATGAGTCCTGTTACATGTGAGTAAACCTTTAGATTGTGCTATTTCCCGTCTTATTGAACACTGAAGAACAGCCGTGCAGCTCCTCCAGATTAGATTAGACGTCCCCCCTCTGCCTCCCCAGGACCAGCCGACCACGGCCCCTGAATGAGGTGTCAGGCTGGATTAGGGGTGCACCTGAACCCCCGCTCGGTCCCAGAAGAGGAGCAGAGTCCAGGAGCCCATAAGTGATGCTGATTGGTGCTGATGTGGAATAAAGGACAGGAGCAGGAGATGCGAACACCTCCCCCGCCCCAAAGTGTTTACAAGAGACTAGGAACAAGATAAGGAAAGGTATCTTATCTTATCTTATCTTATGTCTATCACTTTTTAATGTGTAATTTACATTTTGACAAAAAGTTTGGTACAATTTTACTCATGTTTGTTGTATGTGACCAAGACAGTGCCTGCAAGCTTTAAGAAAAATTAAACAAAACTGTCCAATAAAAGGATTCACGCATGTTTGTGACTAAAAAAGGTTGAAATACAGTTCATATTGTTTTTATGCAACCAACAAAAGCATGACTTTCTGCTTTTTTTGCTAGGAATGTAATAAATTAAATAATGAAAAGACGTTTTTGCCGCTGAATCAAGTGGAAATGTTATATAAAAGGGATTTTTATTGAGCTTTAAGCTTACAATGTTTCAAATCCATTACTAAGTACAACACAAATAAAACTATGAGAAGGAACGAAGATCTATTTGTGTTATAGGTTACGACTAAATACCGCCAAATAAACACAATGGATCTGATAACAAATGTGGGGCCACTGAAGTCCTCGTGCTGCACTTGGTTTAGTGCTGTTTTAGAGAAGTACAATCCAACAATCTCACACCCCAAACCACACACCGCCCTCCACTGTGCAGTAAGCTCCTCATGGATACAACTGATCCTTCCCATGATGCCGCGCTTCACTGATACACAGGCAGATACCAATCCATCGGTGATACTATCTCACATCTCTAAAACCCAAAATCTGCTCTTCAGCAAGTTTTATTCACAATAAACCTATAGCACTGGTGTGGTTTCAGCAGCCTCTCATTACACAGATGATTGAGGTCCAATTAAACGCTCCATCTTCTACAGTTTTAATTAATAGGATTTTTAAGATGCACAAGCGAGGAATTAATACAGTTATTTTTAACCCAGGGAACATACAGGTTGTGCTGATTAGATCATTTAATGTTCGCAGATGCTGACTCATGGGGAAGTGAAGCCCTATTTGAGCCAAAATGATCTGAGCTGCCAGAACCTGTATGTGTATAAAAAATCAATGAAGAGTTCACCACCAAAGCAATTAAGTCTGAAGTAACAAATTAAATACGTGTCCCGACTCAATGAAAAAGCAATTATAAGACACTCTTAAACGCAGAAAATCACCAAACAAATAAATACAGTTATGTGTTTGACTGATCTTTTGGTTTAAACAACTCTGTACATGGTCGTTTTCACCAACAGTATCTGTCACACACCAGACTCATTTTAGGAACTGTGGGTGATGTATTTTGCCTAAGGACACAACAACGGTCTGGACGTTTGTAGCCGCCAAACTATGGCACCTGGTGTTGCCAGAGGTCTCCCATCAAAGTACTAAGCAGGCCCTGCCCAGCTTAGAACTAGAGGACTAACAGCATGAGGCTTTCACAAACAGGTGGCACCACTGTAGACACATGCAACTTGTTAAGATGAAATGGGCACTGTTTTCAAATAGGGCTATAACAAGTTATTCGATGATTGAACTAATCGATTACAGAAATAGTTTTCAACCAATTTACTAATTGATTAATATTTTTTGTACCTAACTTAGATTTAAACATGCTATGAAGAGATTTCACAACTTTTTTTTTTTTTTAAGACTGAAGAATTAATTTATAATAAATATCTATTTTAATACTTAATTTGTAGATGTCTTTATTGTGAGATCAATAAAAACGTATCATGTTTTATATTAATACATTATTTTTATTCAAACAACTAAATGTGTAACAAGTCATCTCTATTTTGTGTCAAATGTAAGAACAATCCCATAGTGACGTCTCGGGAGTAGTAGTAGTTTGGGAAAAATCTTTTGTGTACCAAATCCCAAAAGAAAAAAAACGTATTTATGAGAATGCAACAAACAAGTGAAACAAAGAAAACAGTGCATAATAATAAAGAAAAAGAATAACCATAATGATAGTTTCACATAAATGTCAAAATGCTTATAACTTGCCCAGTAGCACAAATCAGCCGTAAGTGCACTCTCCATGGCAACAGGGACGGACAGCCGCAGATCAACAACAAGGCTATGACATTTCCATCCTTCATCCACTTGTGTCATAAATTATAGTGTGAATGTTAGCCAGGGAAGAGTACACATTGTGTCTTTCGAGCAAAGACAGAGAATCTCCCAGAGCCACTGCCATCATCACAACAAATAATGACATCAAATTCAAACGTGTCGCGAACCAAGCCTGTTATGATTCTGGAGCTGAAAACGCCCTGAGGTGCTAATACACTGGCTAGAGCTGGAGGCGGCTTTTTCCTCCATGTGTCCGGTGAAAGGCTTCAATCGTAACAACATCAATAAATGATTGTGGTTCATCGCTGTTTGTCCTCACAGAAATCATTGAATTATTCTTGAAGTGCCATCAGGAGTTGTATGGCACATTCAAATAAGCTGCTGTTTAATTATACGTCTTGTGTTTGTAAAGATCTCTGATGCATGGAAAAATCTATATGAGTTAAATTCCAAGGTCCGCATGGAATAGAGTATCATTATTCTTATAACCTTGCACAGAAAGGAGAATTCTGTTAAGTGCGAGTCCACAAACTCGAGTACATCTTGTTCGGCTACAGCTGAACTCATTGGGTGTGTTTGGCCAATCACAAAAACGATGCCCTCTGTGTGAAATGCATTAACAACCAAGATAACGACGTCAAATCTTCCTAGGGCCAAATACCTACAGAGAAAAGGGATGTGCACATATGTGGACAGTAATGGTGCTTATCAATCAACAGGAAAGAAAAGCAAATCAAAGGAAAATGTGCCTTGTCTTGTACTACCGTTGACGGATTTTCAATGGCTTCCAATGAGAACGATTTCACCGATGTGGAATGAATGAATGAATGGAGCCTTTTTTACGGACTCAGGGTCAAACTTTGACACAAAAAAGACAGAACATTCAAGTTAAAGAAAGAGAAATCAATACAACTCAAATCGGCCTGGTTTATCATGTTTTAAGAATTCTAAGAAAATAATGTATCATGATTATTTGTGACCTAACAATGGGCGTCATACTGAGAAATAACTATTTAATTTTAAGTGTTGTTAGATTGTTTGAGTTCTTCTGTAGTCGTAATTTATATTTCTCTTACACGGGATAACGTTTTATCTTGGACATTCAATTGTGGGGTATGGGCTGGTTTTATTTTGGAAATGGAGGTGTAGCAGACAGATGAATACTTGTGTTAGATTGTGACCCAGGCGTTGGCTCTGTACGGCCCAGAGAGATGGTTTTATCTGTGGGGTGTGCGCTGAGGCATCAGGCTAATCCTTTATGGAGCCAATGATGTGCCCAGTGTCCCGGGGCCGAGATGAGCCGCAATCCTTCACACCAACGCACAGTTTAACACAAATACACATGGTATGATCTACATGGATACAGAGCAGTTACTTTCGGAACAGTTCTGTTCCGTTCTCAGAATATTGCTGGACAACTTAAAGTCAGGAACATACTGTATATTAAACAGCTACTGACGGCCAGCAGTACAATAGATGTGGATAGTAATGTACTTGTACTGTGTTGTTGATGACAAATATACTTCTATTCTTCTACTAGGACCCAAGACCACCAGAATATCAGTGTTACTCAACATACATATGCAATGCTAGTAGGAAACATGTTATATTACAGTGGTGAGAGCTTAATTAGAGTTTTCAATGATGGACAAAGTGTGTGGCGTTAATATATAACGTGTGAGTTTGGGATAAAATGATTCTGCAGTGAGAGTGGAGGCCTAAATAATAGTTATAAACTATATTGAAAACGCTTCCAGTGGTAAAGTGTTATTCAGCTTTGAATTAATTCTACCAGAATAAAAAAAATTAAAAGAAGGTTTTTCTTTTTAAATAAACCGAACCTTAGCGTACTTTTTTAGTCATATTGATAATATTGTCACCTTGCTTAGAACAATGTTAACTGTTCTATGCACCTCATGTAACTCTAGTGCGTTGTCATTACACTTGATCAGCGATGGAAACCCCAGAAGAAAAGCCACTTGAGCTGAAAAAAAACCTCCATCACTTCACACCTGCTGCCCCTTACCTCCCACAATGCTTTGCTGCTATAATGAGTCCTGGCCCTATCTCTCTTTCTGTTTGATTGTCTTTCATTTCCGCACGTTTCGTTTTCTGTGCTGTGCATTAAATAAAAGTCTTTCGGGAGCAGATAAGCTGTAACGTCATCGAGTATTCAGCTCAAAGCAGTTCGGGAAGGAAAAAAGCCATTTATCCCGAGCTGAGGTATGCATCACGGTTTGAGTTTGTATTTTAATATTCCCTGAAATTAGATAAAAACGCAAGCTGTGTAATCTCGTCCTGTGGCTGAGCTGTTTCATTAGGAGTTCTTTATGGTTGCACCTTTCTGTGGTTTCAATCTGCAGTTTCAAAACTGAAAGACGCTGCCATAAATCACTTTTCTATTTAAAAAATATTTTTCCATAGCCGGCTGCACAAACAGGGGGAGGTAAGGTGAGGCCAGATTGGGGCAGGTTTGCGAGATGTAAAGTGGACAAATTGTGACAAATTTTTGTAAGGGCTTTTAGTGGCTTGGTGGCAATAATGTGAATAGTGTCATGGGATCTTTTCCAGAAGCCTGTTGCTAAAAGTTCAAGTTTACTGAACTAGTGAACTCAGAGTTTCAAGTTGCTGAAAAGAGTTCCCGGTGTTGGGGAGTAACGGAACACATATACTGCCATTACGTATACAGAATACTCTTTCTGAGTAATTCTGTAGTTTAGTTTATTAGTTTCTTTGGTTGGGACAGTACATTGAAACTACTTTTATGCCAATAATTATAGTTAAACAATTACAGTAGCAAAAAATTTGTATTTGTCCATTCTATTAGAACGCCTGCAGGGAGAAAATAAACATTAGAATTAAACGATATTTAGTTTTTAGAATAAACTTCCTCTACAGCTAAAATGTTATTATAATACAGAAAGAGGAAAATTATCTATAAGAGAAATCCGAATTATACGCCAATATATTAGGCGACAGTGGCTCAAGTTGGTGGAGCATCAATTTGACCTAAATAACAAAGACTTTTGGAAATATCTACAACTTAGAAATTGCCTCCAGAAAATCTCAAGGCTGAACACCTTTTTCTCTGAGTCATTGATTGAAACTAAATTTAAACAAATAAAAGCATTATCAAACTCAGTGGGCTCCTTCTACACCTTTTTAATGGAGGAAGCGAACAACCTTAACAATGGGCTAAAAAAGGCTTGGGAAAAAGATTTTCAAATACAGTTTAAAAGGGAAGAATGGGCCACATTGGTGAAAAATATGCTGACCCCTATGAGGGATGCAAGATAAAAATTAATACAGTTCAAAATATTGAATAGACTTTACTGGACACCTGTTAAAATGCACAGAGCAAAGCTGAGAAGCTCCTCCCTCTGCTGGAGATGTAACTCGCAAACAGGGACCCTAATACATATGCTTTTCTCATGCAGAGTTATTAAAGCCTATTGGGAGAAAATAACAACCAAATTAAGCGCTGCCCTACGAGTAGAGATCCACCCCACACCAACAGTATGTATTTTAAACCAGCTCACTGTGAAAGGGGAAAAAACTTCTAATACTGTAACATTTGTAAAAGTAGCCCTTACTGCAGCAAAGAGAGTTATCTTGAAGTACTGGAAGGCACCAGAGTGCCCCACATATACAGAGTGGTTCACAACAATGTCCGAGACTGCCTCCTATGAGAGGCTCATCTATAAAATAAATGGAAAATTAGAAACGTTCAATGACACATGGGAACCCTTGTTCAAACAAATGTAAAAGCATCCCTAAAGCACCACAATGCAATCTAGACTGGCTGGGGGGCAGGGGAAAGCACAGGGGTGGAAAAAAATAAACAAAAATAATAATAATAATGATAATAATAATAGTAATAATAAGAAATAAAATAAAATGAAATAACATATACAGTGTGGGGCAGTATAGGTCTCAGGACACTTTTGCATGTATGTATGTATTGGCTGTATGTAAGATATCATTATTTGTATAATGAACTTTTAAAAACGCTATGTATACTTCAGCTTCCAATTGGAAAGGAATGAGTTAATGTAATAATAGCCAGACACATTTTGTTTGTTTGCATGATTGCACATGCACCTTTATATGTGTAGACATGTTTATTACGTGCGTATTCATGTATATGTATATGTATAGGGTGTATATGTATGGATGTGTATAGGTGTACCTGTATGTGCATGGGTATGTGTGTGTATGTATGTGTATATATATATATATATATATATATATATGTGTGTATGTATGTATGTGTATGTGTATATGCGTGTGTATACGTGTGTATATATATTTATAGGTGTGTGTGAGCATGTATGTGTATGCATGTACAGTATATATGTGCCCATGTAACCATGTGTAGGTAGATGCGCTTATGTGTATATGTATATATGTATAACAAATCTTTCTTTTTGTATTCCTTATTTATCATTATCTTGCGTGGCTACATCTTGACTGAGACCTGAATGCAAGAATACTGTATACTACCTTTCATAATAATTAAAAAATAAATACAAAAATAAATACAAAAGTTGGTGGAGCATCGGCCTTTGGGCCTGAAGGTCGTGGGTTTGATCCCCCCACAAGACCTACTCTAACTGCCATGAAGTCTCCACTAAAAGAACAAGGCTGTGTCATCCCGAACGGAGCGGCCATCTTCCTGTGGACCCACCACCTGCCGGAGGATCAGCGAGGGACTGGGGCTATGAGCATTGGGTGGCAGCTCTCATTACCACCGCCCCGAAAATGAACAAATGAATGAGCGTCAAAATAGTAATTATTTTTTGACAGGCCTAAAATTGTAGACCAAATAACATTTGTATGGATCAAAAGCATAAGGCGGAACCTCCATCCAGACAATGTGGTAGTGCCCGTTTCAATGAATAAATGAAGAGAAATTATATATACTCAAATAGAAAATACCTCAGATCTCCCATGAATTCTCTGAATGTCTGACATAGAAGCAGCATATTGTGTCTTTGCAGGAAGCGGACGTGAATGCGGCCCACTGGTTCCCATCTGCTCTTTACGCACCGCGCACCGCAAAAATATGCTCCAAAAAAAACCGTTTCAATTAGGTTTTTTTGTGTTGCACGATATCGTACATCTGCGTCTGGCTGGTTCTGACGGCGGCACCAGCTGACAGCCACTGAACAACTCGTATGTTCATCCAATCAATTATGGCCCCGTCTCTGCTCCGCGCTTTGGGAACATTAGCTGAGAGGAGCAGGGAGCCTCGCGCACGGAGCAAATGTACCGCGGAGAAACAAGCTGCTCATGCAAAAGTCAGCTCCCATGAGTTTATAACCCTAGTCCTATGCCCAAAAAGACTCTCCAAAATGTAAACTGGGGGGATTAATAAATGTATATAGTTTTGGTTAGGTTTCATTTTTCTACTGATCGCACCCTTCCAAGAGAAGCAGTGCTGAAGAGTGTTTGTTGGTGGTCCAAAACAGCAAGTTATCGATATTGACTGATTCAGGGGTCACCAACGCGGTGCCCGCGGGCACCAGGTCGCCCGCAAGGACTGTCTAAAAATAGCTCAAATGGCAGCACTTACCAGTGCTATTCTTGTTTAAATCATACTTACATGCAACTTACAAATGGCATATAAACTAGAGCCGGGACTTTAACAAGTTAATAAAGATTAATTAATTACACACAAAAAAGCGCGTTAAAAAAATTACGCATTTTAATCGTATGTATTTTTGCACCGCGGAACGTTTCTCACTGAATAAGTTTCAGACGGACCAATTGAACTGACGCACCAACCGGAGCTCCGTGACTTTTCTTGTTCAAAAGTACATTATTACAAGCAGAGACCAACTTTAAATTCGAGTAAATTAGACGGGAATGAGCGCTGTGTATGGAGCGATCAAGCCCCGGCGATTCAAGATGGCGCCCTATTCAAATGAATGGTTGTGCTCAGTGGCGCTTTGTGACGGCACGGTCGCTGACATATTGGCGGAAGTTGCCTGAAACTCGCAAAGCTCTATGGGAAAATCGCCTGTATTTGGGCATCCTCTGGTCCTCCCGGTTATGCGCAGTGGATGACCTCCCATAATGCTTTGTGCCTCGAACGACGAGAACGCGGACCTCAAGCGGGAGCGTGCAGCACCACAGACCCGTGAACGCGCATGAATCGAGCGAATTAAGTTCTATCACTGTTTAAGTAAAGATTGATATTAAAATATATGTACAATTGATCAATTATTTTAAGATGGTGTAGAGCAGTATGACAGAGCCTTCTTGTTGTTGATTCTTAATCATTATCTACTAAGTATTTATGATAAGCTAAATGTACAATGATTATATACTTTTTCGTAACGCTTATACTGTGGCATTCACCTGTAGGCCGCCGTGTTTTAAGCAAAATGTCAGTGATGTGTTAACAAGTACTGCAAGATAATTAAGACCATTGTGGATAGATCAAAAAGCTATGATTTAGTCTTTTGTCCTCGTGAATTGTAATTATTATATTAACGTAATTAATAAGTATTATTCTCTATATACACACACACATTATGTATGTATATATATATATATGTGTGTGTGTGTTTTCCATGAAAAGTCACACTTGTTCACCACCACACGTTGTGAAATGAATAGAAAATAGAGTCAAGACATTGACAACGTTAGAAATAATGATTTGTATTAGAAATAAGATTTGTTTTACATCCAACTTTGCTTTTGTCAAAGAATCCTCCATTTGCAGCAATTACAACATTGCACCAAAAACCAGACATTTGCAGCTAGAACAGCAGTCATTTACCACATAAGCAGTGTATAGAGTGTATTTCTTTACAGTTAAGACTAGTTTAAAGTTATCTACAGCTTTTCCTTCAACATTGAGGACATTTCAATGTGACCCCAAACTTTTGAACGGTAGAGTATATATTCAGGACTCCCTTGAAAAAGGGGTTCTTTATCTCAATGGGACTTTTCTGGTTAAATAAAACAAAACTAGTTAAGCCACGTATTTGTTTCAGCTGTCTATAATAGGATATTCAAGTATGTATATCTATTTCATTTGCTTAACTCTGGAAATTATGTTACTGTGTATTTATTTATAAGTTATCATATTTATACTTTCAAATTAAATTATAAAAAACAAGTTGCATTTGTTGTGATTTTTAATCTACAAAAAAAATGAAAAGCAGTGATTCTATTAAAAATGGCTATATACAAAACACGTAGAACATAATAACAACAGGGATAACCAAAAAAAAAAAAAAAGATGAAGGTAAAAATATGTGTCATTCACGCACACATTCACCAATCATTCTAAGTGATCCTACCACAAAGGATGAGGCCCTGACTATTTTAAAACTCAAATACACTAACAGAAAAATGCACTGTCACTGTGTTTAAAACAAATAGTTTAGACACAGTGACAGTGATTTTTCAATGCTGTGGCTAAATTGTTTAAGAAAATGTCATTCCCCATATTTGAGAAATGAACTCCGTCCCTAATAAATAGACCAGGGCAGTCAAACTTTATGGTAGGATGACAGACCATGCATCCGCCAAGGCCACTCACAAACGTTTTTAAAACATTATTAATAAAGCGTTTTGCACGATTGATCCGCCCCGGCTGGGCGTCCCTCCACAGGCGGCGATCGGTCAGTTGCGAAAAAAAAATGTCCATCGATGGATACCGCCTATGGAGGTCCAGAAGGTCCCGCTTCATCGCTGCGACCAAGTCCACGCTCTTCACCTTCCCGAGGTCGTTGCTGCCGCAGCAGATGAGCAGGACAGCCGGGGCGGACCGTCCCCGTAGCAAGCGAAAAAGCCACGGCACCAGGCTGCTCCAGCGGAGTCCTCCGCGGCCAAACCACTGGACGTGGGCCGCCATCCCTAAATTGTGACCAAGGGTCTCGGCTGCCCGGTCGCGACCACGCCGTACGTAACTGTCCCCAATAATCCATATGGTGGGTCCTATTCAAATACACATTAAATTGTGTTCGTTGATAACATTCAATCGGACAATATCAGCATTTTACCTTCAACAATGTGCACAGATGGCATCTGGCTGGTTCGCTGCTGCTGCCCATTCATTGTAACTTGATACTGACAAAATAAATGCATGATTACAAAACGCTTTTGCATAAATGAAATACGAATAATTATTCACACTTACCTAGCCCGTTGCCTTGCGTTGACCGTGGTAAAGTCATCCATGGGTAAAGTGCGTTCAAAATTGAGTGATCAGAGTTTTAATAGTGGGGGAGGAGTTTGTACAAAATGTATCAAAACACCTGTAATGGTCTTAGCGGCACTATAAATACTTCACAAACTTTCCCACGGGCCCTTTTGCCTTGTTTGACGGTGACCCGAGTGAACGACGCAAAAATGCCTTCGTGTTCTGCTTTCAACTGCACCAATGGATCTCGTAGTGCGAAGCATCAATTCCAACTTTTCAGGTAAATTAAAATGTAAATTCATTTTTGGTTTAATTAAACGAGCAATATAATAAGCAGCGCGGGGATCTGTTAGCTATGCTAATACCCCTTCATACATCCACTGCGTTCCGTCATGTATTTTATAACTTGTAACTTCAACCTGGTTAAAAAAGACAATAATATATATATTGTATGTCATGATCAATAAGCAGAGTACTAGCCTGCTAGCTTAGCCTCCTGCTAATATTAATTGGACTAGCTAGATGTCGTCTGAACAACCCATGGATCTATTATATTAACAACCGTTTTACTTTTATTCCTTTCTTGTGTTAAGTTGGACATTTATGGTACACAGTAGTTGAGACAGTACATTTGTAGAACTTGTAAATTGCACGTTTGAAGGAATTAGCTGCCACATGGTTTACCTACTTATTATAACTCTTATGCATTACCCATGGATCCATTACAATGTCGTTATTACCCTGTAAACTTTGCACTATATTTATAGATTGATCTGAAATAAAGATATTGGAGCATTTACAGCTAGCTAAGAAACATTGCAGCTACTAATTTAGTACATATTGTGTGCTCTTATTAGTGTCCTGTATGTGCGCTTCAACTTTGAATTTTCCCCAATGTGGGACTAATAAAGGATCTCTTATCTTGTCTTTTTCGGCGAAGAGGATAAAATGATGGTAAAAAGCACATTAAATGTATGATTGGAGCTGCAATTTCTCCTTCTTTTAGTTAAAAAAATACTGAAAATCATCTTATTTCTGTTACATAAAATGCACACATAGTCAATATGCAATTAGTTAATGTGATCATTAACATAGATAAGATCAAGAAAAAAAAAAAATTGTTTTCTGCTCTGTCTTCCAGATTTCCTCTGAATGAAAAGAAGAGACTGGCACAATGGGTTGCAAAAGTGAGGCGTAAGAACTGGGTGCCAAGTTCAAACTCCAGGCTGTGTGCTGCTCACTTTGCTGAGGAATGCTTTTTGGTCAAAGGTGGTAAGCAGTCCCTTACTCCATTAGCTATTCCTACTATATTTGACTATTCCCTCAAAGGTCAGTTTGTATCAGCTCAGAAATCACCCACCATTGCCTTTGCTGCACTCATTACAGGTAAGGATCACACATATGCAAGTAAATTTGAGAACGTTGAGCTGACTGAAGACAAAGTTATTGAGTTTGACCAACACACACAAAGCTCAATCTTTGATACCAGCAGTGACATGTCCTCAACTCATGAGCCACAACACTCATCCCCCCCTAAAACAGCAGTTGCGTTACATTCTACAAGCCAGGTACATCTGTTGGAAGATGGAAACACCGGAGTGGATGAATTACACATTCAGGACAGCGAGCTAACTCAAGACAGCGACATTGACAAACTCCAGTTCTCTCCCCAGATCACATCTCTAGTACAGTCAGCAATAACCCTGGATCATCAGTATGTGGCCGGAGACATTCAGGAGAGCGAGCTCACTCAAGACAGCGATATTGACAAACTCCAGTTCTCTCCCCAGATCACATCTCTAGTACAGTCAGCAATAACCCTGGATCATCAGTATGTGGCCGGAGACATTCAGGAGAGCGAGCTCACTCAAGACAGCGATATTGACAAACTCCAGTTCTCTCCCCAGATCAGACATTTTGTAAAGTCCTCAATAAGTAAGGAACATAATTATAGAATATCAGAATCACCCAAAAGCGCTAAGCGCAAAACGGAGACTCAATTGGACCACTGTCGCAAAAGGCTTAGGACGGAAAAACAAAAGACAAAACGATTGAAGAAGACAATTCATTCCCTATCAGCGGTAATTGAAGAGCTCAAAGACAAACGCCTGATTTCTACGGGGTGCTCTGAAATGATGGAGAATTCTTTCAGTGGTGTCACAAAGGAAATTATTACCAGAATGGAAAAAGGTAACAAGTCAAAAGTGTCAGAGGAACTGCAGTGTTTTGCTTTGACTCTACATTTTTACTCAGCCAAGGCATATTCCTATGTGCGTGAGTGTTTCGACCTGGCTTTACCTCATCCAGACACCATCAGGAAATGGTACAGTGAAGTTTCATCTGATCCTGGCTTCACAAAGGCGTCTTTTGTAGCTCTTCGGGCCCATGTACAGAAAAGGCAGCAGTTAGGAAAGGAGACCCTTTGTGCTTTGATGATGGATGAAATGGCAATAAGAAAGCATATAGAATATAGCGCTGGGAGATTTCATGGATATGTTGATCTGGGATGTGGCATCGTGGACGACAGTCTTCCTCCAGCTAGAGACGCTCTCGTCATCATGGTTGTTGCCATAGACGATTCCTGGAAGCTCCCAGTGGCCTATTTCTTTATTGATTCACTCACTGGTGAAGAAAGAGCAAACATCGTGAGTGAATGCCTTTGTCGGCTTCACAATGTTGGGGTACGTATTGTTTCGCTAACATGTGATGGTCCATCATGCCATTTCTCTATGCTCAAAGCCCTAGGAGCAGACTTGGATGTGCTTTCTATGCGGCCCTCCTTTCCACATCCGTCCAGTCAGTCTCCAGTTCATGTACTTTTGGATGTGTGTCACATGGTAAAGCTGCTCAGAAATACACTTGCTGATTGGGGTGTTCTGCAAACATCAACAGGTAAGATTGAGTGGAGGTATCTTGTTGAGCTGAATAAGCTCCAAGAGAAAGAGGGTCTCAGACTTGGAAACAAGTTGAAGATGGCGCATATAAAGTGGGAAAAACAAAAGATGAAGGTGAAGCTGGCCACACAGGTTTTCAGCAGTAGTGTAGCTGATGCTCTTGAATATTGCAACCAACATCTGCAATTGCCTCAGTTCAGAGGTTGTGAGGAGACGGTAGACTTCCTGAGAACCATCGATGCTGCATTTGATGTTCTCAACAGTAGGAATCCCCTTGGAAAGGGATACAAGGCACCCATGAGAACATCAAACAGAGAACAAACTGCAGCAATCCTTGCGAAAGCAGAGTCCACTCTACTTTCTCTCAGAGATGGAAATGGGAAATCAGTGCATGCTGGAAGACGAAAAAACATGCATTATTGGCTTAATTGCTAGTGCCCGAAGTGCACAGAACATCTTCCATGACCTAGTGGAAAAGGATGATGCTCAGTGCCGCTATCTACTGACGTATAAGCTCAGTCAGGATCACCTTGAGCTTTTCTTCTCCTCAGTTAGAGCACGTGGTGGATTCAACAACAATCCCACAACCACACAGTTCACTGCAGCCTACAAACGCCTTCTCGTCAGACAGCAGGTGAATACTGGCACAGGAAATTGTCTCCTTCTAGACAACACAGGCATTCTAGGCGTGACTCCTGCGTCAATTAACACCATGCGCAGATTCAACCTGGAGCCCGTTCTGGAAGCCCAGTCTGAGCATGACTACTTACTCTGTCCTGATGTTGATTCCATCTCTGAATACAAAGATGCTGTAATCAACTACATAGCAGGATTTGTCGTCAGGAAGATAAAGGAGAAACATCTTTGCACACCATGCTCTGATGCGTTGACATCTGACAACTCCGTCCATCCCTTTGTTCTCCTGAAGAATAGAGGTGGATTGCAGAAGCCATCTGAGGGAATCATTTCAGTATGTAAAGAAGCAGAGCGGTGTTTCCCACGCATACTGAGATCAACCTCTGGAAAAATTCCTCAAGGCTGTGGGCTGTCTGCAGCTATTGGAAAAGAAGTTCTGAGTTACACCATGGGCAAGAATCTTTTTCCTGGGCTGCACAGTCACATGTTTGACACCACTGTTGAAGAAAATCACATGCATCTTTTGGTGAAAATGGCAACTTCTGTGTACTGCAACATTCGGCTACATCATTTGGCTAAAAGGCAAACAGAGAAAATTACTACTGAAATAGTTAGACACAAATTAACAAAGTTGATTCATTTTCATCACCAGTAATGTATGAATTGTCCACCCATTACAAAAGGTTATGTCCACTGTTTTTATGGGATTAACTTGGAGCTTGCATAAACGAAGCACAAGTTTGATGTAGCAGTGATCATTTCATTTTTCATTTCCACTTTGTGAACCAGCAGTGTATTTCTTTGCAATGTTTCATTGTGACTGTACAGTTGCTTTCACAGACAGATAGAGCGAGCTGAACGGAGCACATGTTAAAAGCGCAGATTAGCATAGATAAAATAAATGCCAACGGATTGGGGTTAAGTTGTGGCTCAAACATTTAGGAAATAAAATAGCTGAAAAACTTGGAGCTTGCATCAACGAAGCACAAGTTTGAAAGTGACATTAGTTGACAGACACTCAAAACACAACGCACGCAACACTTTTCAATTACTTTTCTGTTGTTTGGGTTCATGTTTGGAAGTTTTCATGTTTAATATGTCATTTTAAACCTTTGTTATTTTGTTGTTCATTCCATTTCAATGCCATTTAAAAAAAAACCCAAAAAAACAAAAAAAAAAGGTTCATTAGTTGTCTTCATTTTCAGAACTTTGCAATTCATTTTCTCTGTTGTTTTGTTTCATTGTAAAAAAGCAGTTTGATTTGTTGTTCATTATCTTTCTATGTAATTTATTTAAACAAAAGAATGCATTGTTCATTAGTTGACATTATGTACTTCATTTTCACTTATTTTTTAAGGTTTGAATACTGTTTGAGCTAGAAATTAATAATTACAATCAGTTTTTATCTCAGCTGCCCAAGGACCCACTTTTCTGTGAAGGTAATGTCATTGTAGTATTCTCTCTAAGTCTTCCTGTTATCAGTAACTAGTTTGGCTTTCATTTGTAGTCAGTTCATCACGATTCACCCGTTGTCCCTGTTGTCCCGAGTGGGACATGTATTTTCAGAGAAGCACTGATGGTATCCTGAACACATGATTTTGAAGTCCTGGGCCTGTGCATCATCCTCACACCATCCTGGATGTGCCTAAATGTCTGCTTTACAGTAATGTATTTTACAGATTACTAACAAATTAAAACTAGCTGAAGTATCAAAACTCAAAAATCCATAATAACTTCTCTAATTTCAGAGAAGCAATGAAGTCATTCTCGACGTTTGGTTTCCAGCCTGGACTCATGGATCGCATCACCAGCCTGGACTCATGGACCGCAGGACCAGCCTGGACTCATGGATCGCATCACCAGCCTGGACTCATGGACCGCAGGACCAGCCTGGACTCATGGACCGCAGGACCAGCCTGGACTCATGGACCGCAGGACCAGCCTGGACTCATGGACCGCATCACCATTCTTTCTAATCCAGCTGAGCCAAGGTGGAGTACTTTGCAGATTACAGTTATTAGAGTAATTGATGAGCGGCCTGCAGAAGTATCTCACAATTTAATGCAATGTCTGATTTCAGAGAAGCACTGATCCTCAACACCTAATGTTCCGGCCTTGTGGACCAGATGCCTAGTCAAACCCCCCCCCTTTTCTGTGAAGGTAATGTCATTGTAGTATTCTCTCTAAGTCTTCCTGTTATCAGTAACTAGTTTGGCTTTCATTTGTAGTCAGTTCATCACGATTCACCCGTTGTCCCTGTTGTCCCGAGTGGGACATGTATTTTCAGAGAAGCACTGATGGTATCCTGAACACATGATTTTGAAGTCCTGGGCCTGTGCATCATCCTCACACCATCCTGGATGTGCCTAAATGTCTGCTTTACAGTAATGTATTTTACAGATTACTAACAAATTAAAACTAGCTGAAGTATCAAAACTCAAAAATCCATAATAACTTCTCTAATTTCAGAGAAGCAATGAAGTCATTCTCGACGTTTGGTTTCCAGCCTGGACTCATGGATCGCATCACCAGCCTGGACTCATGGACCGCAGGACCAGCCTGGACTCATGGATCGCATCACCAGCCTGGACTCATGGACCGCAGGACCAGCCTGGACTCATGGACCGCAGGACCAGCCTGGACTCATGGACCGCAGGACCAGCCTGGACTCATGGACCGCATCACCATTCTTTCTAATCCAGCTGAGCCAAGGTGGAGTACTTTGCAGATTACAGTTTATTAGAGTAATTGATGAGCGGCCTGCAGAAGTATCTCACAATTTAATGCAATGTCTGATTTCAGAGAAGCACTGATCCTCAACACCTAATGTTCCGGCCTTGTGGACCAGATGCCTAGTCAAACCCCCCCCTTTTCTGTGAAGGTAATGTCATTGTAGTATTCTCTCTAAGTCTTCCTGTTATCAGTAACTAGTTTGGCTTTCATTTGTAGTCAGTTCATCACGATTCACCCGTTGTCCCTGTTGTCCCGAGTGGGTCATGTATTTTCAGAGAAGCACTGATGGTATCCTGAACACATGATTTTGAAGTCCTGGGCCTGTGCATCATCCTCACACCATCCTGGATGTGCCTAAATGTCTGCTTTACAGTAATGTATTTTACAGATTACTAACAAATTAAAACTAGCTGAAGTATCAAAACTCAAAAATCCATAATAACTTCTCTAATTTCAGAGAAGCAATGAAGTCATTCTCGACGTTTGGTTTCCAGCCTGGACTCATGGATCGCATCACCAGCCTGGACTCATGGACCGCAGGACCAGCCTGGACTCATGGATCGCATCACCAGCCTGGACTCATGGACCGCAGGACCAGCCTGGACTCATGGACCGCAGGACCAGCCTGGACTCATGGACCGCAGGACCAGCCTGGACTCATGGACCGCATCACCATTCTTTCTAATCCAGCTGAGCCAAGGTGGAGTACTTTGCAGATTACAGTTATTAGAGTAATTGATGAGCGGCCTGCAGAAGTATCTCACGATTTAATGCAATGTCTGATTTCAGAGAAGCACTGATCCTCAACACCTAATGTTCCGGCCTTGTGGACCAGATGCCTAGTCAAACCCCCTCCCACTTTTCCCTATGGACATCCAATTGAATCAATTGAAGAAGATGACAACGTCTGAGATTGTGTCTTTCATTCAGAAAGAAGACATGTTTTATTGTCAATGGTAGAGACAGCACGAACAAAGCACACAAACAAGGGATGTTTACGGCAGCAAGTTGTGATATACTCAGGAGAAACAGAGACCTCCAATCCGCAGCTGCCACAGTGCCAGCAGAGATAGTCAAAACAAGTAGTGGAAAAGTACAGGCTTCTGCTCATTGATAGAATGATGAGTTTAACTTTAACAAAAGTTGCTTCAAAGTGTTATGAAATCTCACACAATGTACCTCTTTGTCAGCTCTTCCTCCAAAAAAGGGACTTGGACCGCATGCCGCTTTGTCAAGAGAATCTGTGTGGGAAAGTTCTCTGCTGTATCCTCTCAGGGGACTCTGTGTCCCTAGAGATGAATGACCTTTGAATATTAGTAATAATAATAATAGTAATGATTATTTGATTTATATTGCACCTTACATTTTCATGGAATCACAAGATACTAGTCAAATATTTGGTGATTATATATTGACATTTGTATTATCATTATTGGTAGAATTGTATATTGTTATGAGAGTTTGGATTCTGTGTCTGATTTGTGACACAGCAAGTAGAAGTTCATCTCCTTGACCTTGTAGAAAGTCAGCTATTATTCATGTTACATGTATAGTGTTTTGCTGTCTTACATTGGTAAAATTATCTATATTTATCTATGACCATTGTGCTAATGTAAACATTCCTAAGTAGAAGTCAAAAACTGTATATCATAAAGGAAGTTAAAACTTAAGTGCAGGATATAAACAGTAACACTTAAAAAAAAAGCTTAAGTTTCTATGTGTGGCATGTTTGTATGTCCTTAGCGCAGTTTAAACCAACTGTGAGGTCCCGACTGATGTATATGCCCACCGAAAATGTAGTGCTTCAGCAAAGAAAAACTTCCACTCAAATAAAATGGCCTTTAGTAGATAAGCAGTAATACACAACCAATCTGTGTCCTGAATACCTCCTATTCATTTAAACTGTTTTGCAATATGCACTACAAAATGTAATAATTCTAGTATGGACATCTTTCTACTCTGTAGACACAAAAAATATAGTTATTCAACAAACTCTTGCTCCACAAAAACTAAAACCGTCATTTTTTTCACAGCAAATGAACTGTATTTAGAGCCATGCAAGAGTTATGTACAACACATTTTAAGAGAATGACAGACAATCTAACTTGAACATATAGAATAATATTATTGTCACCACATGAATGCTAGTGACTCCTACTTCTGTTATTTTGTTGTAAATAGAAACATTTATTCAATACATTTAAATATGTTTCGATTTTATGTAATTAAGATGAGATTTGTACATTTTTGATTTACAATGACCATGAGTAGAAAACTGAAGGGCGATCGAACTAAGCAACAAAATGTATTTATTTTAAATTACAATGTGAATCCTAATCTGCATTAGCACTTGCCACATGTATTACAGCAAAACATGAATGCATTTACTTAAAATGTGTGTGTCTGTGCTGCCTTTGACTGGCAGGGTTACAACATTCATGGTGAATACCTAAACTCTCTCGCCAGCTCTTGTGTAATCATCACGTTTGAGTTCGGTTTTGATATGGACGCTGTAAAGTCAATAGCTATGTTTATTGTACTCATATTGGTATAAATGACTGTCATACGAATTCACACGACTCCAAACGCTGTAGGAAAGACCATACATAGACTCTTAATGAAGCTAACAATAACCACAACAATGCTGTCAATGTACATTTCGTGTTTATCTGGTCAGTTCGGTTCAGTTTCCTCCCTCGCTCCTCTGTCATCAACAGAGCCGAAGGGAGCGCGTTCACGCGAGGAACGCACGCTCGTATGGTTCTCATGCACGCGAGCAGAGGGGCTTGGCAACGTCTTGACCAATCAGCGAGCTGCGGATGCTAGAGCGGCGGAAGAGCGGGAAAAAGAGAGCAGAGTTTGTTGCACTAAAGTGAAGATTAAAAGAAAACCTATTGATTTAAAAAGAAAAAAAGTTCAGGATGACAAGGGGCACTAAAATCCCCACAAAATCCGACCTTAATGAAAGCTGTAGGTTCTCTGTCAGCTGAGGTCGAGCTGTTTTAATTTGCATTGAGTTCTATGGGAAAAATTTCTGGGTGGCCCACGTGAATTTAGTCTGGTCTAGTCTGCAGTACCGCGAGAATCCCCTGAGCACGTGAGTTATTCAGCTATAAGCTAGCAATACCCTATCCAGTTAATATAATACATCCATGGGAGCGATGGACTCTGTGTGTGAGGAGGAGGAGCAGTGACTCCTGTGTGAGCGGAGGAGGAGGAGAAGGAGAAGGAGGAGCGAGACACAGGTGTGTGAGCTGCTAATGCTGATGTTTACTCCGAATGCACACATCAAAAACGTATTATAAAAGCTTTAGCAAACAGCGCATGCCCAGCTTTAGTGCTCACAGCGTGTGCAGTGGATTTTGGGCTTAAAAAGAGTATGTTGTCGTCAGTGTGAGGAGGAGGAGCATATGTTGTCGTCAGAGTGTGGACGTTCTTCCACACTTGAAGCCATAATATTGGAGAAATCCTTGTTTTCAGTGGCAGATCTTGAAACTGGAGGGTGAAGTTCAAGTGCCTTAGCATGGGGGGGTGTAACAAGATTTGGATGGTTTAAGCACCTGGAGGACCTCCTCTGCCACTTTTCCACATCAACATCAGACAGGGTGACAATGTCTTTGGACGATTTTACTCAGGTCTGTTCAGTCAATGCAGAGTAATACTAGCTACCTGCTGCTCCAGAATAACGCTCCAACATATCATAAGTGGAGTTCCACCTTGTTGGACATCATGTATGAGCTTATAGAAAGGCAGCTTAAGCATTCTTGCTTTGTCTTAAGCACATATAGCAGCTGTTTGTGCTTCGTGGAAGATAGGAAACCACCTCCGGATTCTCCCAAGCATGCGTCCATCTTCTTGACTGAGATGTCCCTCTGTGATCAAATCACCCTATCTGTGGGCCCAGTCCCCTGCATTCATTCACTGCATTTATTTGAGTTCTGGCATTATCAGTGGTGACAGGGATATTAATACTGGCCTATTAATCTTCCATTCCTCCACTGCTTGTGACAGTACCTGCGCAAGATGTGTGCCCTGTGTGAGACTTTGGTAGAGGGGGCGTGTCTGCCGCACCGGTCTTCTCATCTCCCGTCGCGTGATGAAGTGAGCAAGTTATTGTGACAATAACTCTCCGTTCCCCTGAACGTCCAACCGTCAGTCGTATAGCGCAACTGCAGTGCGCGGGAATGTTCATCCACAACCTTATCTTCTCTTGCTCATAACGCCCTGGCACAATCTTTTCGCTGAAGTGGGGCGCGATGGGATGTTGTAACGTAGCTCATCCCTCGTTTTCTACAACCAAATATGGCCTCTGCATGTCTGGTCACCTATAAACACTCCGGATAGCCATATGGGCCAGTCCCTATGGTAAGTACCTGGTACTTACTATATAATTACTGGTGTTATCACTGGTACTTATGTTAAAGTCCTTTGTCTTATTATGGGCCAGTCCCTATGGTAAGTACCTGGTACTTACTGTATAATTACTGGTGTTATCACTGGTACTTATGTTAAAGTCCTTTGTCTTATTATGGGCCAGTCCCTATGGTAAGTACCTGGTACTTGCTGTTAAGTACCTGGTACTTGCTGTTAAGTACCTGGTACTTGCTGGTAAGTACCTGGTACTTGCTGGTAAGTACCTGGTACTTGGCTGGTAAGTTACCTGGTAATGTGTAATTCTTGTTACTTGGGTTGGGTACCTAGTTCTTGCAGTGTTTCCCTTGTCCTTGAAACTTGTTTTGAAATATGCATTACATGTATTTATACTGTCCTTTCTGTGCTACTTATTCCATATTAATAAAGACGTTTGTTTTACATAATGTTGTTTTATGTTTTATAGTCAAACAATCCTACAAATGACCTCTGTATGTATGTATGTAGAAGTACCACATTTACTACATAGGAATAATACTGTAGTGTCCTTGAATTACTAAGTTACAGCTGTATCTAGAATTATCACAATAAGTACCTAGAAGTACCACTGTAAGTACCACAATAAGTACCTCTAAGTACCACTGTAAGTACCTAGAAGTACCACTGTAAGTACCACAATAAGTACCTAGAAGTACCACTAGAAGTACCACTGTAAGTACCTAGAAGTACCTAGAAGTACCACTGTAAGTACCACTGTAAGTACCACTGTAAGTACCACCGTAAGTACCACCGTAAGTACCACCGTAAGTACCCCTGTAAGTACCACCGTAAGTACCACCGTAAGTACCACCGTAAGTACCACCGTAAATACCACCGTAAGTACCACCGTAAGTACCACCGTAAGTACCTAGAAGTACCACTGTAAGTACCTAGAAGTACCACTGTAAGTACCACTGTAAGTACCACTGTAAGTACCACCGTAAGTACCACCGTAAGTACCACCGTAAGTACCCCTGTAAGTACCACCGTAAGTACCACCGTAAGTACCACCGTAAGTACCACCGTAAGTACCACCGTAAGTACCACCGTAAGTACCACCGTAAGTACCACCGTAAGTACCACTGTAAGTACCTAGAAGTACCACTGTAAGTACCTAGAAGTACCACTGTAAGTACCATGGACTTACCGGCCCGTAATGTAAAGTGTTACCCATTTTTCTACTGATCGCACCCTTCCAAGAGAAGCAGTGCTGAAGAGTGTTTGTTGATGGTCCAAAACAGCAAGTTATCGATATTGACTGATTCAGGGGTCACCAACGCGGTGCCCGCGGGCACCAGGTCGCCCGCAAGGACTGTCTAAAAATAGCTCAAATGGCAGCACTTACCAGTGCTATTCTTGTTTAAATCATACTTACATGCAACTTACAAATGGCATATAAACTAG